GAGAGAAAGAGCAGAAAAAGATCGTATTTAATTGTGAGATACGTAATTGAAAGAAAGATATTGCAAAGGCAAATCAAGATTTCAGATATCTTCATAAATTAGTAATTATGATCTATGTAATTATAATGAATGTTGATATGCGAGAAAATTTCAATCGTAAATAGTCCATTTTTGCTTTAAATAGCAATTATATAAATATATTTGTAAAAAGTAAATTAAGTGCATTATTTATTGTTTGAAAACTATGTATCACATTTTAATAAAATATATTACTAATTAAATACAGATAAAAGAATTAAAATTTCAGTACGATCCACAGAATTATATGGAACAGGATATAATGAAACCGAATTGCTAATTAAGAACAATAAAATGCAACTAAATAGCAAAATTAGCCAAACGCATATAATAAAAAAAAGGTCAAAAATATAAAACAAATATTACTGAGTTAAATATTACGTTTATAATACTGTACGGTGTTTTAATATTCTAAATAACAGTATAAAAGCATTTCATATTTAATGTATAAAATTGTAACTTCTTACTTAAATTAAGACAAATACAATGTTTCAATTTTAAAATAAAAGGTCAAATAACAGAATGGACCATATGAATACCTGAAAAAAAGGCTTCAATCTTTGCAAAACCTTTAGACCAAGCATATTCATAACTAATTTCTTCTATTTTACATGCCAGCCACTTATCCGAAGATATATATTTTGTATAAAATCTCTAAATATAATATAAACAAATATTAATAAATACTTACCATAATTATAAGAAGATGGTTCGGAAAGAAGTACAGACGCCACACAAGCTAAGCGGTATTTCGTCACTAGTATTTAAAATACTTAATTTATATTTAACATTTTTTAAACTTTAAAACTACTTTTATGATTGAAAAAATTAGTAACTATATTTTTTTATCTTTTTATTACCTTATTGATTGGCGGCTTTTTCGTTGATGCTATTGCCTATTTTAATATTAAACCTTAGAAATCGGGTTCAGCAACTCGCCTTTGCTGTTTCAAGGGTAGGAATGGTGACTATACCTATTGGAGTTCTTCAACTCTGTTCCACACATGATAAGGAGCAAAATTTTCATAATGCATCAGCTCTAATTCAGTTAGCTAAAAAAAATGAGGCACAGGTGCGATTTATTATTGCATATCTCTAGGTAGTTTTCCTCCCTGAATGTTTCGATTTTGTTGGGCGGTCGAAGAGCGATGTGTTTTCCTTGTCTGAAATGATTGATGGCCCTTTAATAACGAAGTACTGTGATTTAGCCAAAGAATGCAATTTATGGATTAGTTTAGGTGGCATGCATAGAAAAGTAATGGTTTTACCTTATTTAACATCTAGGTACGACATGAATCACCTGATAATCGCGTCTACAATAGTCATATTCTAATTGATAGTGAGGGAGGTATTCGTGGCTTGTATGACAAAGCCCATCTATTTGATGCGAAGCTAACAGACGACACCCAGGTTAGCTCTAGATATTTTTAAATTACTATTTTAAAGTAAATTTTATTAGTTAGGTCTATATTTGATTTTTTTATAAATATTCGTTGCAGCAACTCAGTGAGTCCGAGACCAATGAGCCTTCCAAAGAAAAACCCAAACCTTATGTATTTATGGAATCAGAAATAGTTATACCGGGTAAAACACCTGCAGTCGTTGTTCCAAGAACTCCTCTTGGTTCTCTTTCATTGGCTATTGTGAGATAAAACCCTTATTTATTATCGTTCCACATCTAGGAAGTTTTATATAACCTAAATCCTATACCCGATTTACGTTTTACTCTAGTGTTATGATCTTCGTTTTCCTGAATTAGCTGCCCATGCTCGTCATCTGGGTGGCGCTCGTGTTCTAACCTATCCAGCAGCCTTCAGTTTACCTACCGGTCAAGCCGGCCATTGGCACATATTGCTTCGGGCTCGTGCCATAGAAACGCAGTGCTTTTTGGTCGCAGCCGCACAAGTTAGTAGTTCTAGCATAATCTAAACTACCACTTTTCGGGTTATTGCTAGGCATGCGAATGATATATTTAATTTTTTTAATCGACTTATGGCTAGAATAAATTGCATTTGACTTGAAGTCGACTTTATCTGCTGGTTTAATAGCTAGCTTTGCTTCTGATTATAAATTGTGTGGTAGTTCCAAAAATGTACTTAAAAATTTAAATTTATGTTTTCAGAGATACTGTATTGCTTATTTTTTACTCTGATTCAAGCTGCCCTTATTCTACAGGGTAGACTGGTAAAGTCATTTGTTTCCATTTTCTTTCTGCCTGTTATATTTAAACTCTATTTC